AGGACAATAAGAATAACCGCAGACCACAACAACTAACATTTACTGAACACTTACAGCGTGCCAAGATTATACCAGAGTTATCTGTACGCTCAGGCTGGGAGCCCTGAGACGCACAGGCAGGGACTTGAGTGCAAATAACTTATGTGGGAGGCAGCCCAGGAAGCACTGGCAGGGGCATAGGGATGTGAGATGGGGACAGGACGACCGACCAATTGGCCTGGATTATTCTGGACGGAGGGATTTTCTGGGATATGGGTCTTCAGGGATAGTTCTGGGTAAACTAAGATGAATTGGTCACCTAAGAAAGGGAAGGTAGTATGGGTTGATTTGTATCCTCTCAAAATATCTGTGGAAGTCCTAACCCCTGTACCTGTGAATGTGACTGGATTTGGAAATGGAGTCTTTGCTGATGTAATCAAAGAAACACAGAGAAACACATACGGGGAGCAGCTGGTAAGGATAAATATTGAGGCCATGTAGCTTCAAGTCAGAGAAAACCACCAGAGCTAAAATAAAGGTATGGCAGAGACTCTTGTCTAAAGCATCTGAAAGGAGCCAACCTTCTCCACACCTTGATTTTGTACTTTTAGCCTCTAGGCTGTAAGAGAATACATCTCTGCTGTTTTAAGTCCTTAAGTCTGTGGTACTTTGCTACAGCAGCCCCAGGACACTACCACTTCCTCTGAGAATCTCTGAGGGACATGGGCTACGCATCACAGGTATCTCCCATGTACAGGAAGAGGGGTTTCCATCCTCCAACCCCCGTGTCCCTGCCGGTGGGCCACCCCAACACGTATGCCTGCTCCGGCTGCAGACTGAGCGCAAGCCCCTCCTCCCGCTCTCCTTCCCCTCCACTCCTCCTGCAGTGGGAGGCTGGGGGCTGGCAGCAGCCTTCCCAGAGCCAATGTGTGGAGAATGGTGACTGAGGGGGCATGAGCTCCTCCCCACAACCACAGAGATCTCCTTTCTCTGACGGAGATGAGAGGGTTAGGGTTTCCCTTTTTTCACATGAGGAAACTGAGGCTTGGAGAGGGCAACGAGTTAGCTCAGGACCTTCTGCTAACAAGGGGGGCACAACGCAAATGTGATTCATGCTGCCATCCATGACTCTGTTGACCCAGATATTTTATTCTGAGAAAGAAGTCAGGTTCCTTGAGGGTCTCTGCTTGAGGGCAGGATTACATTTGCCACTGACACATTTTGGAATAAGTGAAACTATCAAGATGTGTGAGTAGTTTCCCTTGATGCTTAATGGCTGTTATGGGCTGAACTGTGACCCTCCCCTCATTTTTATGTTGAGTCCTAACCCCCGCCACCTCAGAATATGACTATATACGAGACAGGACTTTTAAAGAGGTGATTGAGTTAAAATGAAGTCCTATGGATTAGCCCTAATCCAATTACTGGTGTTCTTATAAGGAGAAAAGATCAGGACACAGACATATATAAGAGACAAACCACATGAAGACTCAGAGGGAAAATAGCCATCTACAAGCCCAGGAGAGAGACATCAGAAGGAACCAACCCTGTCAACACCTTGATCTCAAACTTCTGCACTCTAGACTTGTGAAAAAAAATTTTCTGACTGATTCGGTGGCTCAGTCTGTAATCTCAGCATTTTTGGAGGCTGAGGCGGGTAGATTGCCTGAGCCCAAGGGTTCAAGACAAGCTTGGACAACTTGGTAAGACCTTGTCTCTACAATAAATCAAAAAATTAGCTGGGTATGGTAGCATGCACCTGCAATTCCAGCTGCTTGAAAGGCTGAGGTAGAAGGATCGCTGGAGCCCAGCCGGTCACCACTGGGGTGGCTGTGAGCATATGTGTCACTACACTCCAGCCTGGGCAATGGAGTGAGACTCCAACTCAAACAAAATTAAATTTTCTGTTGTTTAAGACCCCCAATCTGTGGTACTTTGTCATGACAGCCCTAGTAAACTAACACAGTAGCTCTTGATTATGACTGAGATGCTTTTAAAGGGACTGTAGATAGAAATGGTTTGTTTATGGTGTCTACAGCAGCTAGAAGTTGCTCCCATGGATGGGTCTGGGTGGGGTGGGGGTGGGGGATGTGACTCAGAGCTGGTTAGTTTCTCTAACGCATTGATCAATGCCAGCAGCAGCCTTCTGAGCCCAGCTCTGACTTGGCAAACTTCTCTCCAGGAGGAAATTGGCCATCACTGCCTTCCCTGGCACGGGTGAAGTGGCTGCATTTCACAAAGTGCCACATCCAGACACCTGCCCAGTGTCTCCATCACTGTTCAGCAAGGCCATTCTGCTCTGATGAAGCATCGTTAACAGTCACACCTGCAAGGTTTCCTGACAGGTCCCTGAAAACTCCGAAGAGGGACCTTCTTGCAATTGTAGAAGTCAAACGTGACTTATATTCATCTTTTGTCATTGACATATATTGAGCTTTACAATTCTAATAGTTTTTTTCTTTATTGAACATGCATACTTTTTTTTTTTGAGTTGGAGTCTCACTCTGTCACTCAGACTGGAATGCAATGGCCACTCCCAGCCACCACAGCCTCGACCTGCTGGTCTCCTGCTATCCTTCCGCCTCAGCCTTCCGAGTAGCCGGAATTACAGGCATGCGCTACCACGCCCGGTTGATTTTTTGATTTATTGTAGAGATGAGGTCTCACCAAGTTGCCCAGGTGGGTCTCGAACCCATGGGCTCAGGCAATCCACTCACCTCAGCCTCCCAAGGCGCAGGATTACAGGCTGAGCCACCGAGCCCAGTTTGAACATGCATACTTTTTTTGCACCTTCCATATAATGCCAGGCGGGAAAAGCAAAACCAAAGGAAAAAATTGATTCTGGGTTTTGTAAATACAAAAAAAATCATGATGTTTGGGAAGTGGGGTGATCTTGAAAGCCACTACATCTGTTGGAGTGATAAAGGCCCTACCCCCAGTGCTGGCAGGCATGGAGTATTGCTGGCATACAGCAAGTGCTCAATGGACACTAAATTAAAGTGGTAAGTCAGTGCTGTTGACTCCTAAACTGTGGCAGGAAAGGAGAGGGCGTTTTTGGTCTGGAGGTCGAGTGAGGTCTCACACACTCCCTCCAAGTGACTCAGAAGGTAGTGGTCTCCTTTCGTGAAGCTTAATGGTGGCCATGTGGAGGCTCTGGGATTTCATTTCTCTGCATAATTTGTAAAAGTGGTGTGGAGATCAGTGCTGACAGAGAAGCAACTTGAAGTGAATTTTTACCATAATAATGAGTATTTGACTGACTCCTGGCTGCTGACTTTGAGCCAAACTGGGAAAAGACAACTCGTTATGTTCTGACTGCAGCAGGTGAAGGTGCCTCAGGATGAGAGTAAATGAGTGTGGAGCCTTCTCCACGTCCACAACCCAGGGAGCCTCACACTCCCCAGTGACTATGTCTCGGAGACAGGGTAGCTGTTGCTGAAATGTAGTCAACGATGCCTTGGAAGTTACGTGGTGTGTCAACCTTCTAACTTGGATTGAGGAGGCTGTGATGAGTGGTCAAAGAAGAGTACCGATGCGGAAGAGGAGACGGAGCAGAAGAACTGGGTTTGATGCTGACTGCAGGCCCTGGGCTAACCATGTCTACTCCCTGAGCCTCAACTTCCTCATCTATAAAATGGCAAGGATGAGGAACTCCAGCTCAGGGTTGAGCAAGAGTGACATGAACACAGAAAGTCAAAAACACAGGTGACCTGGCACAGAGTGACTGCTCTGTAACTGTGAATGCAGGAGTAGCCATCACACAGTCTTGCAGCTGGGGTGGCTGGGCTTGGTATGCCAGGGATCCTGACCTTTGGCTCACTCAAGCTGGCAATAGAATCTCTGGGATGTGCCGGGCTTGGCATGAATGAATTGGCAGGCAGACAACCTAGTTTCCTGGACAGCTGGTGAGAAATAGCACCTGAGGATGAATGGTGATTTTTTTTCTCAGAGGTGTCTGACTGGATTCTCACCTTCTCCAGGTGATATCACCAGGCATCGTGGGCAGCAGGGAGCCCTGCTGGGCATTCGAGCAGGGAAGATTCACCCTCTTCCTGTATGCTTCTGGACCCATCATTCTGTGAAGAACCCTTGCAAAGCCTCTGTCTTTTGTTTTCTTGCCGCCAGATAACTCTGATGTCATTTTCTATCTCTCATCTTCCCTGCTCATTCTGTTCTAGCCATACTGGTCTCTGTGCTGTTCCTTACCCAGCCCAATCATTGTTCTGTCTCAGGTCCCTTGTATTTGCTGTTTCTCTAGCCCAGACTTCTCCATTCCCAGACAGCTATGCTCCCTCGGTTCACAAAAATCTCTGTTCAACTGTCATCCCCTTTCAGAGCCCTTCCTGTACTGCTCCATCTAAAACAGCACTTCTGCCTCTATTGCTTCCCTGTCCAGTTCCAGGACCACAAAATTCAAGTTTGTTCCCTTTCCATCCTCATTACCTAGAGCAGTGCCTGGTGTACAAGAGGGGCTCAGCAAGTACAAGTTGGATTAATGAGTAAGTGAATGAATAGATTCTTTACCTACACAAAAAGAATTTGTATCTGATTCCTGAGTATGTGGGCATTTTGCCACCAACCACTATCACTCTTGGGACAACGACCCCATTAGTTATGGATATGATGAGGACAATAAGAATGTTAAATGTGTGGGAGGTTGCACTGAAACTATTCGATGGAATTTTGCCTAACCTAGTGATGAGCACATTGCAAAAATGATAAGTAGGTTGTAGAACTGAGACTCTAACCTAGGATTCCTTGCATACTCTAACAAATGGGTAGCTGACTCCCTCTGAGGCAGCCCATAGTGTGTAGGAAGGCACAGGAGGGTCAGAAGGCACAGGAGGGAGAACAAGGATGAAGGACTTGGGCCAAAGTAGTTTTTTCCTCCATAGGACAATAACATGAGGTTCCACTTGAGAGAGATCCACCATTGCTCTATGAATCACCCTTCTGCAAGCTGAAGAATCAAAGGGTTTCCCATGGGCAAGAGAGGTCTTGTTGGTCAAAGCCGGCCATACCTGAATGAACGGGAAGAGGAGCCCCACAGCAAAGTTGGAGAGCCAGTTGACTATGCCTGCGATGATGAAGGCAGCTGGCCGCTGAGACTGCTGGAAGAACTCGCCAGTCAAGACGAACGGGATGCCACCTGTGGTATGAGAGCCAGGACACAGAATCAACCACCCCGAGAAGGTCATGCCTCCAACATCCATTTCCATCCGCCGCACTTTGGACCACCATGTGGCAGGTGATGCTCTCTTGGCAGGAGCTGGCTCTGCTTGTTTGAGTGACAGCTTTAGGAGTAGGTGCTGAGGTTAGACTGTCAGTCCTAAATATATAAAAAACACTTCTCTCATCTGGTCCAGCCAAATTAGAGATTCATCAAACTCTTGGCTCTCCAAATGCCCTCTGAATCAAGCTCTGACCCATCACAAATTGAGTACTAAATGTATCAATTTAATATGCAAGGCAACTGACCTTTTACTGAATATATTATGTTAAGAATGTTTACAATATAATCTTCAGAATAAGTGAGTCAGGAAGGTATTGGCTACAATATCCCTGGGGTTTGAGAAAACTGAAGCCCAGAGAGGTTATTGGACTTGACCATGGTTACCCAGCTCTTGAGTAGAAGTGTCAGAACTCAGGCTTCAGAATCTGGCCTCCAAATCTCAGGGTTTTTAAAATTTCTTTATTTTAAAATTGTGAGGGTACAAGTCAAGGTTAGGCACATAAGTGGTCTACATACAGGTGAAGTTTGGGCCTCCAATTGGGCCTCCCTTCACCTGGTTTGGGATCAGATACCCTTATTGCAAATCTCAGAGTTTTTTCTGTACCCTTACTACCTTTTGTTCTTCCTAACTCCCCTTGGTTGGATTTATAGGGGGCTCCATTTCCTGAGTCACTGTTGTAGCTCAGTGTTACTTGGTGGAGACACCATTGACTCTGGGTGGGCTTCTTTTGAGACTGTCCTGTGCAACTGCAGGATGTTTATTGCCCTTCCACTTCTATACCAGGAGGGCCCCTAATCACCATGACAACCCACACATTTCCAAATGCATGCCTGACTGTGCATCCCTGAGATCTGCACCCTCCATTTCCCCTGTGTTCTACTCAGTGAGAATAAAGATTGTGCCCTGTGCCCAGACCCAGACCTGAAGCTCAGTATGACTTCTGGGGTTCTGTTTGCACCCCTCATCTCCAATCGGAGTCACCACTCTGCCAATCAGATCTGCATCTTGGTGTTCACTGACAGTGGAAAAGAAATGTCACAGAGATATTTACCAAACTCTAGGGAGACACTGAACACAATTTGGAAATCACCAGGCTGGAGTCATTCATTCACCAACAATATTGACTGGGCTGGGGCTGATACGGTAGTGGGGGTTGGGAGAATCATGTCCCCGTTTTCATGGGATGCCCTCATCTGGCAGGTGAGGTGACTTGTTAATAAAAAGGAAGCGAGTGAATGAATGAATAAGTACAAAATGCGATAAGCACTCAACAGGAGAGTCACAGGATAATGGGGAGTCTATTTTAGCAGTGGTTGGGGAAGAGTTTTGGGGAGGTGATGGTGGAGAAGGAGGCGATGCAGCTCTTGAAGAGCTGGGGAAGGTCATGCCAGGCGGGGGGAAGAGCAGGCAGAGGTCAAATAATCAGGGCTGGGACAACAACAGGGGCCAATCTGCCCGGATGCCTCAAGGAAGTAGAGGGGAATGGGGTGAGGTGGCAAAGGTGAACAAGGCCAATGGGACAGCCCCCTGCAGATCAGGAAGAAGGGCTTGCGATGGAAGAAAACCACTGACGGCTTCTATGCAGGGGTTAGGCGATCAATTTGCATTTAATAGAGGCCACTGGTGCTTGGAGAAAGGAAGGGCTGGAGGTGTGTGAGTGGATGCAGTCTGTCTAACTAGTCCAGGGAGGAGGTGGTCATGTAGAAGGGTCGTGTAGAAGGGTTCAGATCATGGCGTGGGAATGGAAGAAGGAGACAAATTCGGAGACAATTCCTCCATGGAGGCAAAGCTTATTAGGTGAGCTTTGTCCACACCTGCAATCACTCATCATCAAGTTGACCCAACCAAGCCATGAACCAGGACTCAAGCCTGTCTCTCTTGGGAGCTTTCACTGTTATCACCCCACTATGCTGCCAGCAAGACTTGGACTCACAATGGACCACCCATCCCCTCACCTCCCACTAGGCTGTGAGCCCCCAGAAAAGGCATCCTATTTGTCTGGCATCTTTGACAGAGTAGATCCTCCTTCAATAATTACTTACATGGATTAAATGCTTGAGAGTTGATTTTGATAAGATTTGATATGCTGTTTACTACAAAGAAAGACTCTATATATCTTAAAGGTATCCAGCAAAATGTGTGAGAACAGTGGTTACACATTGAAATGGAATTAAACTAGCCTCGGGTCTGTAGAGTGCAGAATATTTTGTCAGAAAGTGTTTGTGTCGCATGTCCAGTTGGTCCTGCAGCTAACACTGCTGGGAACCTTGTAACATGTCCTAGGGGGTCAGCTCACAGCTACTCTGAAGCCTGAATAGGGCTGACAGCTGGTGTTTCACTTTCTCTGACTTCCCTAGGTGAGTTTTTTAATCCCTGTGGATAACTCAGTTATGACTTCTGTTGCTGGCATATCAGAATGTGGTACATCAACCTACAATGTACATTGACAAGTTGCCTCCCTGCACAACTCTTTGTTTCTTCAGACTTATTTATTATTTATTAGTTATGGCCACTGCTCATAGCACAGTGCTGAAGACATACTATGTGCTCTGTACACGTTTATAGGAACAATGAAACAACAAATGATTAAGACATTCTGAGGTTCACGGTTTAGCTATATAGCAGGTCTCCTCTCTGTCCATCACAAGTCCTTCAGGCCAACCCCTGAGGTCAAAAGAAGGCAACCAAAAGAATCCTGAACCGTTCCACTGTGTCAATAGGGTTTCATCTCCGTGATCTCTCTTGATCTTCACAATCTGAAAAGGTAGGGGGAAAGCACCATAGGCTAGAGCTCAGGCTCTTGTGTCAGTAAGAACAGATTTGTGTCCTGGCTCCACCAGGTCTTTCTAGAATTGAGTTCTCCCATCTGCAAAGTGGTGATGTTCATTACAGGGTGTGTGAGACCTTGGGCACCCTGGTTAATCCTTCTGCATCAAGCTTCCTCCTCTGTAAAGCAGGGACAATGGAACTGATTTCATAGGATTGTTGTGAGGTTAAAGGAAATAATGCAGATAACACATATTAAATAGTGTCTGATGTGTCAAGAACACTCAATCGTTTTTAACTACTAGTATTACTCTCCTGAAGAAGTGTGCCCCAGGGTAACCCTGTGATCTGGGTTAACTTCCTGGCTCACTGAAGCTTTTAAACATGATCCACTCTGGTAACTAATGATCTTTCCCCAGTGGGTTGCTTGCCAGTCAATTTGCTTTTGCAGATAAGAGCTGCCCCAATACCATGTAGTTGCCGTTGCCTTACTAGCACATACACTAGAAGAAAGGAAACTCGATCCCAATCCAGGCATTTGAAGCGCAGAATCCTAGGGTATTATCTAGGACTCCGGGTAAAATAAAAACTCTTATTTTAAGAGAAATGAAGTACACAGAGGGAAATTTATTGGCTCAAGGTCATAAAAGTTTTTGGAAGAGCCAGATTTAGGAAAAGCGGTACTTCAGACTCCTGTCTTTATAGAATATAAAGAGGTAATACAGGTTGAGGTATAGGTCCCTCACCCTGAACTTATTTTATCCTTCTCTCTCCCCCTCTCCATATCTCCCCCCTCCCTCTCATTTGCCAGAAGAATAGCAATGTGTGCTGATTAATCAAGTGTTCTGATTAGCTTTTAAAAATGCTAATTAATTTTAAAAATTCTGTGCATATCCTGAAAACATGCTTATAATTTTGAGAATGTATCTGCAAAGTTAACAATGTATCTACCTTGCTAATAATGCCATTATTTTTTCTCTGTGCCTCAGTGCTCCATACAGCTCCTGTCTACCAAACAAGCTGTCTTACGCGAACAGCGACCCCTCATGTATATTGTGATGAATTAGATAAAATCAGGCCTCTTACATTTTCTCCTCCAGGAGATGAAATGGACTAAACATTCCCATCTCTCTACCTACTGCCTATGTGACCACAAATACCTATGATTCTCAATTTTCTCTTCTGCAAAATAAAGATGACAATAGTTCCCAACTTCTTAGCTCTGTTTTGAGCATTAAATGAGAGTGCTTAGCTATGTGCATTGCAAACATTTCTCACGTCCAGTGGATTGCCTCTTTACTCTCTTGATGGTTTCTTTTGCTCCACAAAAGCTTTATAATCTGACGACTTCCCACTTGTCTATCTTAGCTTTTATGGCATTAGCTTTTCGGGACTCGGTGAAAAATTTGTTGCCTACTCCAATGTGCATGAGTGTTTTCCATATTTTCTTCTAGGGTTCTTTTAGTTTGAGATTTTAAGTCTTTGGGTCATTTCAAGTTGATTTTCATATATGGTGGTAGGTAGGGGACATACAAGCAGCCAACAGACACACGAAAAAATGCCCAGTTTCACTAATCATCAGAGAAATGAAAATCAAAACTACAGTGTGATATTACCCATTTCCGGTAAGGGTGGCTATCATTACTAAATCAAAAAAACAGATGCTGCCACGGACACAGAGAAAAGGAATGCTTTTACACTGTTGGTGGGAGTGCAAGCTAGTTCAACCTTTATGGAAAACAGTGTGGAAATTTCTAGAAGAACTAGAAATTGACCATCCACATGAAGCAATCCCTCTCCTGGGAATGTACCTGGAGGAAGACAAGTCATTCTACAAAAAAAGAAACCTGCAAATGCATGTTTTTTGCTGCACTATTCACAGTAGGAAAAACACGGAACCAACCCTACTGCTCGTTGAAAGTAGACTGGATGCCAGGCTCGGTGGCTCAGCCTGTAATCCCAGCGCTTTGGGAGGCCGAGGTGAGTGGAATGCCTGAGCCCGCGGGTTCGAGCCCCGCCTGGGCAACTTGGAGAGACCTCATCTCTACAATAAATAAAAAAAATCAGCCGGGTGTGGTAGCGCGTGCCTGTAATTCCGGCTACTTGGAAGGCTGAGACGAAGGATCGCTGGAGCCCAGCAGGTCGAGGC